GAATTTTTAAATACTTTAAGAATTGAAAAGTCCCAAGGGGCAGTTTGCATGGTGGTTAGAGAACTGGCTCTAAAACCAGACTGCTGGGGTTCAAATTCAGCCTGCTGTTGTATTAGCTCTGTGACTTGGGCCAGTTACTGTTCTGCCCCATGCCTCAGTTTTCTCATCCATGAAATGGGTTAATAATAGTACCTACTTCTTAAAGTTGTTTTGTGGCTTATATGAGTTAAAATATGTGAAGCACCTAGGGTAGCACTTGTTACATAGTAAGTGCCATATATGTTGTCAATAATTACTCAGCAGTTAAGAACTTTGAAGACCCCTCTTATTATTAATGCAGAATAAGTCTAGCTTGATATGTGTTCTAAAAATATGTCCCTTCTTACATAATGCTTTCTCTCAAACAAGAGAAATTAGGGACTAAAAATAGAGCTTGATTTAGAAAGTATTTGATAAATATTAGTTTCCTACCCCGCTTTTCCTTCTTTCCAAAAAAGGGGCCTTTCTTGACTTTTCCCCAAGTCTTTGTATAGAGCCATCATGTCCCTGAGTTTTAGCTAAGAGTGTATCTTGGCCATACTTGAACCATTTTGCACTTGTAAATGCTCATCCATCATTTTGTTCCAGTTGGAAACTATGAGAATATTTGTCCCAATACTTAAAATATTAAAGTTGGTGCTACACAAGGCTGGAAAATAATAGAAAGCAGTTGCTAAAGCATCCTTGTAATGTTAAGAAAAGGTCAAGGTCTGATTAAATTGTTCGTAATTGTATTATTCAAAAAATGGCGAAGTTCTATTTTCAAAAATGTCCAAGAGTTTCGGGCAATCATTCATTATTTATTATCTTAGGAAAAGAAAGAATGTTGGTTAGAGTCAGTGCCAGGAAATAGGAGTGTTGGGTTTCTCTAGCTGGACTATCCATCCAGCTTAGGCCACCTATTAGAATTTCATTACTCCTTCAGCTGAAAATAATATGAATTGTCTCTGATAAGTATGAAAGAGAAACTGCTTAAAAGGTACTTGATATCGCTATGGTTGAAACCTGAGTAAACTAAGGGCAACTCCAGAGGAGCATTTCTAGTCTCCCAGCTCCCCAGCCTAGACCAGCTTCCCTGTTTTGTTCACCTCCCGCAGTTAGTACAGCACCCGATCCCTAGCTGCTGCTCAGTAAATGCTGCATGGATGGTTGAGGGAATGATATCAACTGGCTGAGCACTGAAAATATGAAACTGAGCAAGATCACATGATGTCCTCCCCACAGTCTAGGGGGAGACATATTAACTAAATGCAAAGTTGCCATATAAAGAGTGCTCAGTAAAAAGAGGGAAATGGTACTATCAGTACCATTTCCATCATAGGGATTTCACCCAATCAGAGAAGCCTTCTCTGAAACTATACTGCTTAAGATAAGAGCTGAAGGATGAATCAGGATTGACTAGGAAAATGCAGAGGTAAGAACATCCCAGGTAGATAAAATAGTGCCTGCAAAGATGCTGTGGCAGAAAGGAATGCGGCAAGTACAAGGAACTACAAAGGTCCGTGCTGTTGGGGTGGCATGTGATGAATCAACTAATAACAGATGGGACTGGAAAGGCCACAGGAACATACTGTACAGGAGTTCACAAGCCTTGTAAGGAGCGCTGTCTTTACCCCAAGAGGGAAGGGAAAGGCTTTGAAGGGTTTTACTCAGATTAAAATGAAAATGAAAATGAACATGAAAAGATTGCTCTGGCAGCAATGTGGGGGAGGAGGAAGAAATTGGAGTGTGCTGAAATGGACACATGAAGAGTACTAAGGGATTAGTTGTAATCTGAGCAAAAGATGTTATTAATTTGGTCTAGTAGAAATATGATAGAGAATCAAAGAGATGGATGGATTTGAGAGAGACTTAAAGGCATATTGATAGGCACTGGTGATGCATTGCATACAGTGGATAAGGGAGAGCGAGGTGCCCTTAGGTTCTAGCTTGACCCCTGCAGGGATTGGGATACCCTTTGCTGAGACAAAGAATGCTGGGAGATTATAAGATCCTCAAGTGGAAGATTATGAATTAGTTTTTGGAAATATGAGTTCCTTTTAAAATTCTCTTTTCCCCGACTTCCTTTACACTGTGCTTCCACTCCCACATCACTTAAATGTTGGTACTCTCCATGGTTCTGACCCGAACCTCCAGCCTCTTTAAATCACTCTAACCTTGTGCTGTCCAATACAATGGTGATATATGGCTACCGGGCACTTGAAATGTGGCTCAAGCAAATTAGGATGTGCCATAAGTGTTAAATACATATCGGATTTCAAAGACATAGCATTAATAATAGTGAAAAATAAAAGTGAAATAAGCCAGTCAGTGAAAGAAAAATACCTTACGATCTCGCTCATTTATGGATAATAAAGAGCATTATAAACTGATGAACAAAAGTAGATACAGAGGCAGAGAAGCATCAAACAGACTGTCAAACTACAGTAGAAATGCTGGGAGGATGGGGGGGGAGTTAAGAGATCAACTGAAGGACCTGTATGCATGCATATAAGTATAACCAATGGACGAAAGACACTTGGGGTGGGGGGGAGTGAGGGCGTACATGCACGTCTTTGGTGAGGTTTGGGATAAGAATAATAGCAGAAAAGGAATCAAGCCTGGTGTCTTACTAGGGCTATATTGCCTTGGCAAATTCCCAGAAAATCATTCCAAGTAGAATGCCGACTCTCCTCTTCTTGCTCTGCCTCACCCAGCTATGGTACTTTACAATCAGGACCACTTTTTTTTTAAGCACCTCAGGAATCTTTGTAGGAAAGGGAAAAGGGAAGTATGAAAAAGTAAATACTGGTATTCATTGTAGGGAAATACTGGTCTGCAGGTCCTATGTTGAAATGCTAGCTCCTGATGAATATCAATTGAGTCTACACGTATTAAACAGTTAGCATGTGACTGGTGAGAGGAAATGTGAATATATGTTGCTATGGGGTTGTCTGTGTTCAGTAAGGGAAAACAATCCCTTTGTAAGCTTCAGATCCTCGTAATTTTCCCCAAAAAGCAATATTAAGAAATTTCTGTTGCTATTGGTAGTTGACTAAGACTAAAAGGGGATCTTGGGCTCAAGAGTAAGACAGTTACTTCTCCTCTTGATTCTCCTGATTTACACATTTCAAGGTAACAACTGAACTGATGCCTTGTGCATAGCCAGAGGAAACGTTTGTTTTAGATCAAACATATAGACAAGTACTAAGTAGGTTATATATTCTCTTCCAAATATATAATATGTATTACATATAAAATATTTAAGAACATTCTAACCCATAACAGGTCCAAATTATATATAAAAAAGGACAGGGAATAAATAGAATAAGGGAACTTAGGGCTTATTATTACTATTATCATTATCATTTTATTAGTGTGTTTACCTTTCAAACTAGACCTTTGAGTTGAGGGACTATGTCTTAAACATCTCTGTATTTATTTTGTTACCCTCCATATAGAAGTAGTTGGTGTTCATTTACTGAGTAATGGAGAGTCACCATATGCAGTATAATTGCAAGGAGATTCCAACTTGAGTGGACAGCACATGAAATTGTAAGGAAAAGGTTCTTTGAAGTGAAAATTTGGATTCCTTAGGAAATGGAATCTTCTCTAGCAGCTAAATCAAACTTTAAGATTAAGAGAACAACTTCAGGTTGAGGGATAAGTTTTAGTCTGATATTAGATAGAGAGAAATTCCATGGCCAAGAACATGTCAAAATAACAATGGCAATTACCTGGCTGCTCCAGAAAATTTGATCGATATAGTCAAATAAGTGCAACCTTGAATTTGAAAGTGGGAAATTGAAGTTGATTTATCTGCCAGACTGACTTGTACTCAAAAGGATGAACAGAAGGTACTTTTAAATTCAACCCACTCAAATACAAAGCATCAGAAACTCTAACAATCAACCGATTCTGAGGTAAGCTCTCTGGGACTCAGGTTCCTCGCTGGTGCATTGTATGATATTCAATGAGCTTGATGTTCTCATTTAGTTCTATAAGGATTGAATTCAATGCCAGGCCTGCTACATGGTAGACAGCATTCATTGAAAATGCTCTGGCTTCTAGTAACAGACATCTTGACTAATAGTGGCTTGAATCATAAGCACTCTTTTTGTTGAGTAAACAGAATGTTTGAAGGTAGGTAGTCCAGGGTGGAATCAGTAGCTTAGTGAGGTTCTCCAGCAGCCAGGCAGGCTCTTTGAAGTTTTTGCTGCATCCACTTCATCATCTGAGAGATCATTGCCTCCTGGCTACAAGACAGCTAGTACAGCTCCAAGCAGGGAAGAAGAGTCAGAGGCAAATGGTTTCTCTTTGCATTCAGTAAGATCCCTACACCTGTCAGAATCAGCCAAACGACCAACCTAGACTAACCAGTGGCAAAGGGAAAGGAGATTCTAGACTTGCATTGGACCAATTATCATTCATCCTATACCCCTGAAGGCAAAGAATAGGTGCCCAAGACCTGAACAGCTCAGAGTTCTAACAGCAGGGAAGGAAAGAGGAGAGAGGATGGATATTGTGTAGAAAATAAAACATGTCTGCCAGAAACACTTACTAAAGATTTATTGAATGTAAAAGTGAGGCTGCATTATGACTTTCATAGATCCTAAAAACTTTGCTTTTATGGGTTTATTCCTCAAAAAAAGTAAAAATAGTGTTTTAGAACTGAGTTAAGATAAAGACACATAAAATCCAGACTGAATTGTGATGTATTCATTCTTATGTTTAATTCTGATTTTATAAATAAAAATTGAAACATTTTTGTTGGCCCTAAATCATGTATCTGCTATGCCTCGTGGATAATTCCACCCTGGGTTTATGTTGTGTTTCCAACGGACTTAGAAACACTAGAGGGAAGGGACTGTGTACTAGGTGTCATTATTGCCCTCAAAGCCCCCATCACATCACTATGAATCTAAAAGCTGCTCAACAAATATTACCGAGTTGAGCTAACATATCACCATTTCTTCCTCTAGGGTGAGCCAGGTCCTCCTGGTCCTTATGGTTCTCCGGGAGCCCCTGGTATTGGACAGCAAGGTATTAAGGTAAAGATCCGTGTCTCTTTGACCATTGATGATTTTTGAATTTATTGTAGGGGCTGGGGGAGCTGTGATTTAAACTCTGCTCAGCCTTGCCCTCACGAGTGCAAGGAGGCTGCTCGCAGAAGTTACATCTGGATGCTTGGACACTGAGTGCCATGCTCAGGGTCAGTTACCACTGAATCACCAGTGTATTTTGTTATTTGGTTGGAGGGAAAATTTGCTAGTCTCCGAATACCCACTCTCTGGCCAGTGTACATCTGGTTCTGTTGATTCTTTATGGACTTGGAATGTAAACATGCAAAATGTTACTGGGATGTGAAATACCTTAATAGATAAACTACCACCTGCTCACAGTAAATAAGCTGACAGGGGCAGAAACCAGAAGAACCATGACACTGAAAAGTATATGTTGTCAGGAAGGTTAGTCGGGGACTAGAAGGAACTAGAACACCAGCACTGTGCCCTCTGAATCCTGCAGGATTAATAGAGTTTATTTTAAATGGATTTTCTCTGACATTGGGACAAAAAGACATTGATGCAGGACTAAAACAGAGAGCAGTACAAAACAGTGCACTTTGAATGTAAACAATGTCCCCATGGATGGCACGTACACAATAGCACTTGAGACTTCAGGGGAGGTGGAGTTTATGTCAGTGCAGTTATTGGAGAAGGATTCTGAAGGAGATCAAGTGTGAAACGGAACTGAGAGGAGAGGTGCCATGGGGGAGAGTGAGGACAGGGCGGGGGAGGGCAGCATGCCAGGATGGTGGGGAAGGGGCAGGAGTGGCATGAATATTGTCATCTCAGTCACCAAAAGGCATCACACACAGTCCATTCTGCCAATTACTACACAGTAGTTTCTGAAAGCGGAACGTGCCCTATTGCATTTAGACAAGAAGGGATGCTGAACATTTTAAGGTAGTTTGTTCACTTACATTCAAGCCATTCCTCCTCCTCCAGATTATGTTTTATCTTTTTGAATGAGAAAAGTTTGACTGTTTTGCTATTTATCTTTGTTGAACTCTTGAGAGTATTTTGTGCTGTTTCTTCTTTATGTAAAAGCCCAACCTTTCATTTGATCATTTCTTTCTCTTAGGGGGAGAGAGGCCAGGAAGGAAGAACAGGGGCTCCGGGACCGATTGGCGTTGGTGAGCCAGGCCAGCCAGTAAGTAGCCAGAAATTCTAGACGGAATAGGAAGGACACATATAGTTCTTATGTCCTCCCTCTGGCTAGAAAAATGGTTCAATAATCCATCTTGTATCTTTTGGACAAACAAATGATAGTAAATATGCAAGAACCAGATACAAGGTCATTTTTCACAATTAAAATAGGGAAGCATGTGCGCACACATACAGACACAGTAGGTTTACAGTGGTTCATATGGAAAATAATACAATGATTAATAAGTAATAATACAAGAATAAACTCTGTTTTGCATACTCACAACTGTAAACCTACTTTGGCCCCACTCTGTATGTATATGATATGTACAACTGCTCTCTCTTACTGTAATCTCTTACAAGATTTGTTAGCTTGTTCAAGAATTATGTGTCGAAATTTCCTAGGAGATACGAGATCTGGATTCAGGCCTAATGCCTGTAATTTACTTTCCTGTAACCATGAGAAACTCACCAACAATGAGGACTACTCATTACCTAATCCGTGAGTGTGTTCTAAAGCTGGTATGAAGGATGGTAGACAGGCCAGACCTGTGTTATCTGTAGTCTCTACCTCATGTAACTTTGAAGTTTCTATTGTTGGAAAAGAAAAATAATACTTCTGTCAAAAGAGATCTAAAGAGGAAATGAATAAAACATGACCATTCTAGCATAAAAAGCTCCTTAACTTTTCAAGTAATCATTCCCCTAGGAAAGAAAATGGTTGACTCACTGGGGTACAAATGAAAACATGGCTGGTGTCCCAATTTGGTTTTGCATTGCATAGCACCTCACGTGTAAGTAGTAACAGAAACGTGCTTCCGGGTTGTAGGCTGTGAGTGGAATGGGAGCATATTGTTTGAGGGTTAGGCTTTTCACTAATGTCTGTGCACACATTCAAAAAAGAACACATCTCAATGAGGAAAGATATACTGCACTGATTATCTAGAGACCAGTGATCAAGTCTCAGTTCTGTTAACTAGGTAGTGCCCTTAAAGGTGAACCCCCGAGAGAGAAGAAATCAGCTTTCATGAGACACTGCTGGTTCTTCACTAGAGAGGGCCATCAGCTAGAAAGAAAGACACAGGCTCATGTAGATCGCCATGTGTTCTGGGAGTACAGCAGAGAATCTGGGCTTTTTTAAGAAACTGGAATAAACAAGAATTTTTTCATAATACTCTGAATAAGTGGGAATAAAAACTAGCTACATAAATACATTTTTAAAAATGAGCTGCTAAAAATAACAGAGTAGAATTTATTAAACTTCCACCAGATAGACAAATCTTAACATTTTGCTACACTTGCTTTAGATTTTCTTGCAAAGACATAAAACATTATGGGTACAGTCAAGTTGACATAATCTCTTCCAGAAAATAGAAGAGGAAAGAACACTTCCTAACTTATTTTACAAGGCCAGTTTTCTCTCAATACCAACACAAGACAATGAGAACACATAAAAAGAAAGCTATAGAATAATATCCCTCAGGAATATAGACACAAACATCCTAACAAAATCTTGGCGAGTAGAATTCAGCAATATATAAAAAGAATTATACAGCAGCATCATATGAGGTTCATTCCTGGATGCAAGACTGATTTAATAATTGAAAAGTAATCATTATAGTACATTGTACTGTAGGCTAAAAATTATAGGATCGTATAAAAAAGAAACAGGAAAGCATTCAATAAAATTCAAAATTCAAAACCCTCATAAGCCCTGATAAAAACTCTCAGAAACTAGGAATAAAAGGGAACTTCTGTGATACAAAAAACTACAGCTAACATATATTCAATGGTGAAGTGGTAAAACCAAAAACAAGAGAAAGATTTCTGCTTTCACCAATCTTATTCAATGTGAGTATTAGAAGTCTAAGCCAGAACAATAGGCAAGAAGAGGAAATAAAAGGCATAGATTTCAAAAAGAACTAAAGCTGTCCCTATTTGCAGATGACATAATGGTCTTCATAGAAAATCCCCAGAAATCTATACCAAACCTCCTAGAACTAATAATTGAACTAATAATTGAGGTCATGGGATACAAGCTGGACATGCAAAATCAATTTTATTTCTATGGTCTAGTAACAAATACAGAAACTACCAGCTTTAATTTTTGATTACCACTTGTTTTGTGATGGTCTCAGAGGTGACTGATTCATGAAAAATAAATTGATTCAGAATCTCAGGTGATCTGTTTGTTTTATGTGCAAGGTTATTTCAAGAGCTATCAGTAAAAGGAAAATACTCCCTGAAGTAGAATTGTAATTACTTTGAAGTCAAAAATAAAGTACATGGTATGTGTGAATATTATAGACAATTATTATTATTATTATTTAAGATATTTACCTTTAATGCTTGCAATGTATATTATAACCACTTTGTTTATTGTCCACACTATTTAGATTAAGGAAAGTAAGAAAATAATGGATAATTATACTTTATCTTGCTAATGTTTCAAATAAAACATTTCACTGACTAGACTGTGTTAACTGATAATTAGGTTCCTCCATTATATTTTTTCATTAGAGGTGTTCATTAGACACCAAATAAGTACGCCATAGTTGTAATTGATTTTCATGGCCTTTGAAAAGGATACTGAGTTTTTTATAGAAGCATTTCTGTCCTTTAAAAATGTTCCATTGGTGCTGTCTTCATAAATTAAAAATATAGTTAATTTAACCCAGTACCTGCCCTTTCTCTTCTGAGGTTAACAATCATCTCCTATCCTGACCACTCAACTAGAAAACTTGAGAATGTAGTGGTGGTGTGGAATACTACCCTGACGGTTTGTAGTAACTGAAACTTGGCTCTCTGTATTTTTAAATGCTCCTAAGTGATTGCTCACTAGCATTCACTCTCTTTTCTCAGCAGTTTGGAACATGTGGCTCCTAAAAGCCACCATTATTTTCACTGTCACCTTAGTTGAGGTATTCTAGAAATGCGGGCAGAAAGGGTCCGCGTTTGTTCTGTGCAGCGTGCCTCTCTCCATACTTAATGTCACCCATTCATGCGGAGAATACCTTCTTTGTCAAAATGTCCATAAAAGGACAGTCTTAGCAACTGCAGCACTCAAGGAAAATAATTTTGATAGTGCTAGCAGATATTTATTGAGTGCTTCATTTGTAGAAGCTTTAAATCTCTCTGACTTAGTCCTTACAGTAATACTGAGGTTGAGGTAGGTACTGTTGCTACCACCATTGTGATAAGTTTGCTGAGCTCTAGAGAGAGGAACTTATTTGTGTAAGGTCACACTGCCAATACTACCTAGCAGAGCTGGCACTTGAACCTCAGTCCAAAGGACACCAGAATCTGCTTTTAATGATCATGCAAGACTCTAAACTCCATGAGACAGAAAGCAGGTTGGTCTGATCCTCTTAGAACCTAGCATGGAGCCTTGCACCTGTTAGGCATTTGGTAAATATTTATTGAATGAATGAAAAAAATGGAATAAACTGGAAAATAGACTTATTTAGCATTTAATGTACATTGTGTTATTTTTATATGTCATATCATTGGGGAAAATGATAATCAGTCAATATATTTTCTTGTCATAGTGTGTGATGTTAGACATTGTTTAGTTTACAATCCAGTTTTCATGTCATATTTATTTCCCCTTAGTTAATTGCTCTAACATTAGAATAAGCTGTCATGAATATTAATGCTTTAAGAACTTGGATTGCTAAAAACTAGGTTTTCCCATAAACATAACAATTTAAATGGAATTAAATGTTAGCTTTTTATTTTAATTAAAGTCTTTACTAAATTGATTATGAATAAATATTAAAGAAGACTGTCTTTTAAAATATATCATATTAGGGGGGAATATATTATATATGGTGTGGCTCAGTGGTTAAACATTGACCTATGAACCAGAAGGTCATGCATGGTTCAATTCCCATTCAGGACATATGCCCCAGTTGCGGGCTCGATCCCCAATGTGGGGCGTGCAGGAGGCAGCTGATCAATGATTCCCTCTGTCTTTCTCTCTCCCCCCTCTCCCTCTGAAATTAATAAAAATATATTTAAAAAACAGAAAAAACAAATACTGATATACAATTCTTATAAGCTTTGCTGTAAGCTTTTTTTCTTACAAATCCATAATGGTGCTCAGTCACTGATTAGCATAATGCTCCATCCTGGTTCTGCTTCCAGGCTTTACCAGAAAGCATCTCTTAAATGACCCTGGATGACTTTGTATCCAGCTCCAAGGTCATTCAGAGGAGCTCTTATTCTGTCTCAGGTTTATTTCCCTGGCAAGTGAGCCCTAATTATCTTTTTAGAGCCATTCAAGGGAAAGCTCCAGTCTGGGCTTCTAAGATTCCCGTTGTTAGTCTCTGTTCTACTTTTTGGCCTGCTGGCCAAGAAGATGGAGTGGGAAAATGTACAGCCTTTTAAAATTCCTAGTGTTTAAGTGAGTTGTTTTTTATTATTAACTGTTGTTTTTTATTATCCGGTGAGTACCTTTCCAGTCAGTCCACTTCAATGCCTGAAACTGTTGTTTTTCTTACGTGAGAAGTTCGCACCTTTCCTAGTGCCTTTCTGAGCAATGGTTACATGGACTTCTTAATTTTAATCATTGAGATTGAAAATCATGCGTCCCTTGATCCAGATTTCTATGCACACATAAATCTCCAGTGGATTCAACTAGTTCTTGAAAGATTTCAAGTTTGAGTCCAAATTTATGAGGATAGAAATTAAAACATATGTAAACAGAATTCAGTATTTTAACCAGCTGTGCAGTGATTTCTTCACAGTCCCCCCAGGCCCCATAATTCAACTCTGAAATTACTCTGCATCCGTCTCCAGCCATGCAGTCCTCAAAGTTAGCCTTTCCTCATCCGGTTTATTTTCTGTACCTTATTCTAACACATCACTTAATTTCCATTTCCCATTAATTTGAGGACACCAGAATAGATAATCAGATGCCAACCAAGTGGAACAAGTATTTAATACGATGGGAATATTATTCTTCACAACTATAATTCTCCTGATTACTATGAAGCTTACTAAAAGGATTCTTACTAATGACTTCAATAGGACTATGTCATGCCCATGTGAACTGAAATATAACCATTTTTTCCCCTTCCTCTCCTCCCTTCCCTTTCCCCTCCTCCCATGATCCTTCTCTCTTCTTTATTCTTCATTCCCTTTTATCCCATCCAGGGTCCCCGTGGTCCCGAGGGAATGCCAGGAGAGAGGGGCTTACCGGGAGAAGGCTTCCCAGGACCAAAGGTAACCAGACCTTCTGTACTAGGAAAAGTGCTTTGTCTTGCATGGTCATGAATTACAAATTTTAAAAACTGTGTCCAATTATCAAAAGTCAAGTATTTTCCTGACCAACTTCACCCTATTAAATGAAGGAATATGTAAATTTCCCCTTACCATGAAACGACAGTGAATTTTGCAATCATAAATGAGTCATTGACAGACTTCTACTTTATATAATTATTGCGTGTGAACTTAGAAAAATCTCTTGGACTGGAGTCATTAAAGCACAGTGATAGCCTCTTTACGCCCAGTAGTTGAGTTACAGTGTGTAGCTATGACAAAGCTTTACTCTCAGCTTTGTTTTTGTGAAACGTAGATAAGAAACCAATTTGTAACAGCATTGCCTTTAGTATAATAAAAAAGGAATTAGCTTATTACTATAAGGAGCAAAATGGTATGAAAAACCAATCTTTTACCTGGCAATTGAGAATTTAAACGTCTCCACTGCTTCCCATATATAATTCTTGGAGCTCAAGTTCCTCTAGACCAGGGGTTGGCAAATTTTTTCTTTCAAGGCCAGGCAGTAAATGTTTTAGGTTTTGTGAGCCATATGGTATGTGTTGCAACTACTTAACTCTGCTGTTGTAGCATGCAAGCAGCCATAAACAATGTAGTTTAAATGAATGAGTGTGGCTGTGTTCCAGTAAAGCTATATTTTACAAAACACAGGCAGAGAGCTGGAGTTGGCCATTGGGCTTTAGTTTGCTGATCCCTTGTCTAGGCTGTTTACTCAAAATCTGTGGCACCTTTGACAAAGGCCACATGGGAAATGATTTTCCAAGATACTTTGGGTGGCATCAACAAAATTTGAGAGTAAGTAAGGATAAATTTTGGAGTCTTTTTCCTTCTTTTCTAAAGCCTTTCCCCCAAACACATGTGCATGCACACACACTGCCCAGAGAAGCACACATTCTTTTCTAAGCGACTAAGACCTTCCACGGTATTCAGTCAGGTCCCTAAGTTCTGACCTTCTCAGTATCGCTGCACGCTCTAAAACTACATCTCATTCTTAGCCTCTCCTGTCTTGATCAATATTCAATGACCTATGAGGAAACCATATTTCAGCTAGAGGGAAATTAATTAGCTACAACAAATAATTCATACTAAGTTTTGAGAGACTGCTGGGTTGAATTTTCAGAGAGGCCCCTTTTAACTAACACATTTTAACTTGTCATAATGAATGAAAATAATATGTTAGGTAAAGGGGACTTTAGTCATGTCCTTGACTAACCAATATGTCACTATCAGATATAGAGGCTAGCAATTTAGCACTACATTTCAGAATGATTTATAATACATAGTTTCTTGAATTATTTTTTGTTATATAGTAAATTTATATATATGTGTAGCCCAAACAACCTGGAAAACTTAAATAGCCAGAATTACTTCTCTTTATAATCTATTTTTTTTACTATCTCTATATATAAAAGCCTAAGTGCCTGGCCAGTAGTTATGACGTGCACTGACCACCAGGGGGCAGATGCTCAACGCAGGAGCTGCCGAGCTGTGATGACTTGGCAGCTGCAATTCTCAGGTGACATACCCAGAACCAGAGAGGAGGGAGCCTTAGTGCCAAGTTCAACTGCATGATATAAAGATACACTCTTGCTCATAGTAACCCACACAGTGCATTGCCCTCTATCTCTTCAAACAAATAACCCACTATATTCAGGGTTGTTTTAGGGTCGGCTGTATGTAATTATGTTCTGTGGAAATGACCAGAAGAACCCACTTTTCAGACTACTTTATTCCCCAATCAGCAGGACCAAAGGGAGTTTTCTATATGTGCTCCTTGGGGCTGCTTACCATGATGTAGGACTTAAGTGATTATACCGTGAATACATAGAGACACAAAGGATATTTTCCTGTTTTCTATGTTTCTTGCAAATGTCCTTTGATTTTACTCACGGTTCAAATAAATTCATGAGATGAATACTATTTTTGATTGCTTATATGGTTTATTTTTCATACCAATGCAGTGTGATGACTTCATTGATATTACATTACATAGGTCATGTGATTCAATCCAAGAAGATTTTACATTAATTATTTTAAAACTAAATTTTCAATGAATTCTGATATAAAGCATTTAATAATTTAACCATAGCAAGTATTAGTTCATATACTAATGTGAGGGACATATTTCCATTGTGTGACGGGTATAGTTAAAGCACTGTTGAGGAGACAGAGGACTGACTCAGCGAGTTGTACTCTGTGATTGATTACGTTCCTCATCCCCAGATATTTCTGACTATTTTGGGAATAGAGCTCTTTTCCAACCTTAGTGGTATTTCATATGTGTTCTGCTTGGACAGAGTACCTCCTATTTAAGAGTTAAGACTAATTTTTTTTTGCAAGTTACAAATCTTGGTGTCAGTTAGAATTACCCACTTGCAGTGAGCTGTAAATTTGGTTGCTTTGAATGCTTTAACTGTTTTAAAATTCTGATTTTTATTAGTGCACTGATGTCGCTCTCATATATTTTCAGGGTGAAAAAGGTTCTGAAGGTCCAATTGGCCCACAAGGACTACAAGGCCTGTCAATCAAAGGGGACAAGGTAATACATATAGGATATAGGATGGAAGAGAACCAGTAAAATTGTTTTTAAAAATGTTTGTTATGTATGTACATTTATAAACTGTATACAACCTGACAACCACACCACACAGGTATCAACTTAGTTGTAAATCAAGTATATGCAAGGTATATTATTGTAGAGATGAATTATTATCTGGAAATTCCCATGTTATATATTTATAGTAATGTCTCATTTATTTGGGTTCTGACTTCCAGTATCCCTATCGTCAGCCAAGCAGCTTTGAAGCCAAACATTAGCAGAATAGACCTCTACTTAGTTAAGAAAATAGCTGTTGAAACATGACTTGACCTCATTACAGAAGCGATATCTAACCTTAGGCTCCCACTAAAAAATATTACTTTAAAAGGAGGCTGAAAGAAGATAACTCATTTAAGAAAACTAGCATTGATGTTCTCCAGCAAGGACCAACAGGAATCCACCTATAATTGAACAAATTTAGGTTTATTGATTCTGCTGTGAAAGAGGCCACATACCGTGGGAACCTATCACAACTCAGTAAGATGAGAGATTTTTTTTCATAGAATTTGGGTTTATATATTAGGTGGCTTGGGCAAGTGTCTAAGAAAGTATGAATTCGCTCTGAACTGGATGCTCTCAGGAAGTGGGGGTAATTTTAAGTTTGGGCATTTTAATGAATCTTACCTAGGAGGAGAGAAAGATGGAGCCAGGCTAGTTGCAATTGGTAAAGAAGTAGAAGTTATTCATTTCAGTCGGTACAGGTCTAGGACAGTGATGGCGAACCTTTTGAGCTCGGCGTGTCAGCATTTTGAAAAACCCTAACTTAACTCTGGTGCCATGTCACATATAGAAATTTTTTGATATTTGCAACCATAGTAAAACAAAGAGTTATATTTTTGATATTTATTTTATATATTTAAATGCCATTTAACAAGGAAAAATTAACCAAAAAAAATGAGTTCGCGTGTCACCTCTGACACATGTGTCATAGGTTCGCCATCACTGGCTAGGAGGATGTTTGATCCCTTTTGAGAAATTTGGACATTGTTTTTTTTTGTTTTGTTTCTGTCTATGCTCAGACATGACTATGGAGAGGTTTTGCTTCACCACAGAGAATGGCTATGTCTGACACTGGTGTTCTGGAAAATCATGTTCAACCCTGCGGCCTACCCGCCATTGCCTTCTTCTCACTAGTTACTTGTCTTCTTTAAAATAGCTACAAATTATATCCAGATTAGAAGTAGGGATGAGGCCAGTGATAGAAGCTACTGGAGGCTGATAAGGTCCTAAATACAGTGGGAAGGGAATGATGCCAGAGAATGGGAGATATAAAAATACACAAAAAAACAGAGACCTCATGTCAATTTGGAGTCATTTATATGTCAACCTCTAAGCATATCATTATATTATATATTATATTAGAATAATGATTGATATTCAAGATTACCTTAAGTGTGTTTCAATCTTGAAGTACTTATTTCTTTTATTTACTGGTAGCCATCTCTTCCGGGAATCTGTGTTTAAATAGCAGAGATAGTGGGAAATAGTGAGTTATACAAATTTTAGATGCAGTACAACTCTTGGTTGTAACTTCAGCTCCAAAATACTTTAAAAATAAGGAAGATGTGCTTTCTTCCTTTGGAGCAGTGAAAATTGAGTACAATAGAATCATGTTTTAGGAGTTCAGTAAATTAACTTTTTTAGGTTTCATTGACATTGCATTTTTATTTTTACACCTGGAGTTCATGCAAAGAAAACACATGGAAATATCAGGACATTATCACAGAGTAATTGCAAAGCCATCATCTGCTATTCTCTTACCAAATCAAACCGTCTTTCTTTTCTCTTCCCTTTCTTCCTTTTCTATCCTTTTATATATATTAGATTCAGAGACTTGGTGCCTCTGTTTCAAGTGATAAGATAAACACCTCTATGTTAAGGGCTCTCAAATATATAAATTGATACAAAACAAGGAAGTAGTTTTGATATAGATTTTAAGTGTCTATAGCAATGCACAGAAGAGGATCTCTCTTTTGGGTATACTGAATATTTGCAGAATAGTGGTTATGAGTTGGGTTTTGCAGTCAGAGAGAGGAGACTTGAATCTTGCGACTGAATGGGGTGTACTTAACCTCATCAGGAAAATGGGGATGTCTACCTTCAGAGGGTTGTTGTGAGGATTAAATGAGATACAGAATGAAAAGCATTTAGTGCAATGCCTGCCACATGACAGGCAATCAAGTTATGAATCAGAATAATCCAGTTCTGAATTAGAACTGAACTCCATTACATTTTCCTTCCTTGATTCTTATTTAGACTGGGATTTATACAGAGTGAAACACTGAGAAGCATACCCCAGGGCATGTTTTAGCGACAGGTTCAACGGACTTTGTAATAGTATAAACAGTATAATCTAATGATGTACTTTTGTTCATAAAAATATATTTATTTAGCCCAGCATTGGCCAAATAAATGTGGGGCTGGCTGCCTGTTTTTGTAAATAAAGTATTATTAGAACACAGGTACACCTGTTCATTTATGTGTCATCTATGGCTGCTTTCACACTAACCAAGCAGCATTCATTAGTCACGAAAGAGACCTTATTATGCCTTCACACATAAAATATTTGTTGAAAGACACAAAGGATAGATAAATGATATTCTTCTTAATGATAACATTTATTTTGTTTCCCAAATTTATTTCATGGAGGGGAGAGGTAATGTTCTTTAATTTTGTTGTGTTTAACTTAGAGAATTTCTTAATTTTCAAAATGCATTTTAAAAGGATTAGGAGGGAAAAGGTATTTAGAGAATTTTACAATATTTTGCTTCAATTTATTTCTCAAATCCTGTTTTCCTTGGACTATGGATTTTATACTTTTAAACATTTCTGTTATGAGCCTAACATAAAGTGTGTCATTATAATAACCATTCAGGAACTTTTGATTTTTATGAGAAAAAATGACTGATAAATATAAACTGGTGCAAATTCTCACCAATTCAGACTAAATAGTAAATCATAATTAACTATTTTGGCAAGTTTGAACTAAACTGTTTAAAAGGAGTTTGCTAACTTTCCATGTTGAACTTTTTTAAGGATATAAAAATAGATTTGAATCCAACGTAATTCCTGATTAGCAAAGTATGAAAGAATTAAGTTTCATTTTATTGTTATATTTCTGATTTATTTTCTATACAGGGGGACTTGGGACCTGTGGGACCCCAAGGACCAATGGGCATTCCCGGAGTTGGGAGTCAAGGGGAACAGGTAATCAATGCTCTTGCCCTTTCCTGGCCCAATGCTGGAGTTCATCGAAGGCCAGTCCTGCAAACACCAATGAGTGTACTTGATAGTTAAATTGCAATGAAATTCACACCCAAAGTGAATATAGGAAAGGATAAGATGGTTTGTGAGATCTTATTTATTAGAACTTCCAAAACTTAAAAAATAGTGAATTTCTTGATGCTGTAACTTTTAACCTTAAAACCTAATTAATAGGAGTTTTTGGATAATAGTTTGTATTTTTAGTATCCCTTGGGAGCAATAGTTTATTTACCTGTTGCTTTGTGTGTCTATTCCCCACCCCCTTGCAGCTTTGTGAGTGATTAAATCGCACTCTCTCTTAATGCCAGTATGTAATACTTCCACCCCCTAGCCATGAACCAATCTGAAAAATGTTAAATTTAAATCAAGGTCCAGAATCAGAGGTAACTACTTGACTTTAAGGGGCACCATTCCTGAATAGACACAAGCCACAAACAGAGTTTATAAATGACACTTGGCCCCTGTTGGTCAGAATAAAGAAAAGATCTCTTAGCTTGTCTTTACATTCATGACTGAAATTGCTTCCAAAACCTTCTGACCAGAACTACTGGGAAAGCTGGATAATCTTGTTAGATCTGAATAATATGAAGATAATATAACAGTTCTATCTAGAGTTGTTGCTGACCATATGCTTTTACCTACATTATCTCATTGAATTAAGTAACCAATATACCCAAATTTATGCTGAACACCCTTCTGCTTAAAAAATGGCAAATCAGTTTGGTTAAAATTTAGAGTTAAGGTTTGCATTATTCTACTACCTAGAGAATGAATAGTGCTTCTTTTATCTAAGATAGTGGGAGAAGAAAAGGATTTTAAAAATGAGATAATTCCAAAGCTTGTTGACATTAATTCTGAGTTATTTCTGACTGTCTTCTAATTATTGAGTATATGTTTATTGTTGCTAATCCAAGCAACAGCAAAGTTGGACTTACTCCTTTTTCCATTTCCTTTTCCTTGGTAGAGGTCCTAGTGTAGTACATTAGGAGGGTTAAGATACAAGAGAAGCCAAGATAAATCTATAAATAAATGCTTAGAAAATATTTAAGAGCTGTACATTTTGACTGCATAGGGGTTGACTGTGTGACCAGGCATTCTCAGGCTTTGTAGTTTGTTTACCTTCTAATCTCAGAAGTGGCTGGACAGTGCTGCCACATCCTGGGTCTCGTGGTGCTCCTGGTGCTGAGTCACCACCATCAGGCTGAAAAATGAGGTTCAAAGAAAGCCAAGTCTTTCCAGATGGCCTGGAAGTTCTGGACCTCCCACCTGCAGCTTCCTGTTGCCTTTAATATTGGTTCTTCCTGGAGGTTGTTTTCCTTTATCTTAACAAAGCCCTCAGACCTCCTCGACCTCTTTGGTTTTCTCATCCCCTTCTGTTCTTTTCCAATAGAAAACAATTTTTAAGGTAGAAAGGTCCACATGGAGCTAAGCCCTACTGGGTAGGAGATGGAATAGAATGTGCTCTTTGTTAATTACTCTGAGCAAGAAACAAATTTGTTTCCTTTGATCTAAACTCTACTTAAATTTAATCTTAATTCATGCCGTTATTCATTTTTCTTCTTATCCTTAATTTAACATGTTTAGCCATTGAATTCCTGTAATTATTAGATCTTTCTATTTTTCCTTTAGAAATGAATTGTCCCATTCATCTGTTTATGAGGGAACTTCTGTTTCCATTTCCAGCAACTAGCATATAATATCCCTCAAGTGGCCTGCAGATTTTCATTAAATATTTGCAGACTTGACAATATCAAATTTTTATAAAACAGAGTAGAATCTAAATAACCATATATACATGTGTATGCACATATAGGCACATCCCTTGGAAATTTTTTGGTTCTTTGTCTCATTGCATGCTACTTGTGGACTACTGAAAAAGTTAAGAAGAATTCCTTCTTATAAAGGCTCAATATCTTAAAACTTGGCTTTCTTAAATTGTTTAGACTGCTTCATCTTCATCAACCAGAGAAAGGGAATACTAATTGTACTTTTTAAAATGAGCAAGCAGTTGTATGATATAGTTAGAGAAAGGGCATAACATTTTCAATAAAATAATCATATTTCTGTAACCATTATATGCACTGTCATGGTTTGTGGGGTGCAAGCAAAACAAAATCTTAGTTTTTTCTCTCATCATCCCTTTAAACTTTTTTTCATTAGGGGAATATTTTTCTTTGTTGGAGCACAGAAAGAAATTATCACCAGGCTATAGACTTTTCTTATCACTTTTAAGTTAATAGAAAGTTTTAGGGTCGCTCTAAGTTACAAATCACAGTTTTAATTGTACAATAAAAACTATATAGTCGATGTATAAATCCTCCTTTCAATTTTTCCTCATTTGGTCTGAGCTGCATGGAGACCCTGTGGTCCATGGGAAGGTATCTGCTTCTCCTCCCTCCCAGCTGAGTCAAGGCTGGAGGGGAGGTTCAGTACAGAAATTCTTTCTTGGCTGCTCCATTGTCAGATGGCTTTGGGTCCTCTGGTCTTGGCAGATTTTGATTTTGACACCCTTTCTTGTGGGGATCCGGCACTGGCCCCTGCTTTTGCTCCTCCTAGGACATGGGTAAAGGACTCTCTTCCTCCAGCGATTTCTCCCATCAGCCTCTGCTTTTCTGGAGGTTTACTCTATATCGACTCTTTCTGTTGGAGTTCCGTTACTCTTTCAGACCCTTTTGGACAGGACTCAAAACAGCTCCAGGTCTACTCTGGTCCACAGAAAAAACTCACATGGCCTTTGCACAAGGCCTGATGCTCAGGCTGATCCCACACCAGCTCTTTCTGGACTATCACAGTCCACTTTAGCTTTCTTAGACATGAGTCAGACGCTAGCCCTTGTGAGTAAAATAGGTGAAGGGATTAAGCAAAACAAAACAAAACTCATAGATACAGACAATAGTATGGTGATTACCAGAGAGAAAGGAGGGCTGAAAAAAGGGGGAGGGGGAAGGTAGAAGAGAGTAAAGGGGGGATAAATGGTGATGTAAGGAGACTTGACTTTGGGTGGTGAACACATAATAGAATATACAGATGATGTATTATAGAATTGTAACTTATAGAACTTTATTAACCAATATATTCAATCAAAAGAGGGCTCTTAAAAAATAAAATTCAGTCACTTTTTTTTGTTTGTTTAAAAAAATATCAAGATCTTCAAGTGGTTACCCCCTTTCTCGAATGGGGTACCGAACAAAGCAACTTAAACCCTTCTCATCTTCTCCAAAGAAAAAATTTCATGACTCCTTTCTCCAAGGAATGCTGTCTCCTTCCCCCTTTTATACCTACAACATGAGTGAGAGTCAGATGTTTGAACATGTATCAGTTTAGTGTCTGCTGCCTATCACTTCTTACAACCTAGGTCAAACCTCCATTTTAACATCTTGATATATACCAATTGGTACAGCTGGTTTGCTAGCATATGACTGAGGTGTGAAATGGGTTAACACGATGAAGAGTTATTGCTCTTCTTTAGAACTCCAAGCTGGCGTGGTGGCTCTGCTCATCAGGGCTTCAGGCTTCTTCATTATTGTCCGCCTGCCATCCTGAGGGTGCGCTTTCTTCCTCCATGGGAAAAACACCATGTCTTCACTTCATCCACTGGAAAACGGGTGTAGGGGAGGAGGAGGCATGCTTCTACCTTTAGCATGGACCGGAAATTACACACATCCCTTCCATTCCCGTTCCATTGGCCAGAACCCAGTCACATGGCAACACCTGGCTGCCACAGGGACTGGGAAATACGGTCTTTATTCCAGGCAGCCATGTGGGCCAGATGAAATTTCTCTTACCATGGGAGAAGGGAGAATGCATTTCATGATTCACCTAGCAGCCTCTGCTATCCCATTCAACTAATATTGACTATTAGTAATTCATTATGGGACATGAACTAAACTCACTTTAGAGGATTGGAAACTCTTACCCACATTTCTTCTTAATTTCACTAAAACTATTAAATTTTTTATTTTTGTTTTAAAGGGAATCCAAGGCCCTATTGGTCCCCCTGGTCCTCAAGGACCCCCAGGACAGGGCTCACCTGGTTCCAAGGTAACTTTCTCAATGAGAAAGGAGTTTCATATGTCTATAAATATACTGGCTGTTTTTGGGGCAGTGGGCAGGTATTTTGAAGGCAGCAGATGAAATGCACTTAAAAATCAGAGATCTCTACTTAATGTAAAATCTTACTGATAATCCTAATGGTGTAGAAAATGTAATATATATTCCTAATGCTCTTAGAAGCTTTATTTAAACAATCTTCATTTATTGTTTTCTTTGTTAGTTTTACTTATGAGACCCTATTCTAGCATCTCAAGCAGTAATATCAGTAGGAACTACCTGTGGTTACATGCCTCTTTGGACTGACTCATTTTTATTCTCACCAGCACTTCCACAGTAGTTCTAACTGCTAAAACATTTAGTTAAAGATATGGAGTCAGAAATGATCCAACAAATAAACATTTTCTATAAAAAGGAATCAAATTATCTCCTAAATTAGAACTATTATTTATCCCTTGGGGAAAGGTATGACACCTATTTCTAATTAGCTATCCTTAATGTTGCTTCAAAAAATCATTAATCATTGTTAAATAAATAAAATACTTCTCTGAGAGGTCTCGCCTTCAAGCCCACTCCTTAGCGATGCCCATGTGAGAAGCAGCTCAATAGACTGCTGTTACTGTCCTTGAGATGCCTGATTCGGGGCACATCATCGGAAGCTCAGGTTGTTCTCTCTGGTTATGATACTGCTTTTGATCATCGGTCATCTTGACTTTTCATGTGTCAATTTTAGTTGTTCTAGAATATAACTATCATTTCCAGGGACTCTTTATGGGGGGTGGGGGTCCTTACAATCAATTTTGAGTATGTTACATAGCCTATACTTTAAGCCAGATCTTTCCACAGTCCAAATGTGGTGGGGTAAATATATATATGAATTGAGCACATGAAGCTCAGTGTTCTCTTATTTTGTTGATATAAGACAACTCTTAGGAGACCAAAGAAGGAGTATGTTGTTTTAATTTTGCTGCCTTAGTCAAATACTCTTCAAATATTCTTTCCTTATTAGGGAGAGATAGGCCTGCTAGGACCTCCAGGCCCTAGAGGACCAGTGGGGATTGGAGTACAAGGTCCAAAGGTGAGTTGACCATGCTGCTCAGAAGCATTTAGATGATTTATGTGATATTATGTAAAGTTTCATTTATATCCAAATGAAATACAGATCATGCATGTGTCATCTAACTGTTCCTTTCTTTACCAGTGTAGAGTGTTTATTCAGAAAAGGGTCTGATGCTCAGTATAACTTTTATTGTTAAAGAAAAACCAAAATAGGTTTATTGTAATGACTGCTGCTTGTTTTATTTACTTATTCATTTATTAGCAGCACAGACTCTATTTTGGCACAGAGTGATTCTTTAGAACATTATTGCCTGCCATATTATAAAACAAAGCACCTAGTAGTTAGGATTTCAGTAAAGGCTACTTCCCTTCCTTTGTTTTATGATTTCCTAAGCAATCCATTCCCTAAATCTAACATATGTTCAGCCCACTTCTGTTACCCAGTAATTTTATATGTCAACATGCTATTTGTTTCCCTTGCTTTTACGTAACTCTTATCTCAACTTGCATGTTTTTTGAATTTAAGGTGACCCTTGAACAATGTGAAATATAAAGGTGTGGACTCCCTCCAACAACTTTTGACTTCCCGTAAAGCAAGTTGTCCCTTGGTATCTGTGGGGGTATTGGTTCCAAGACCTCCATAGACATCAAATTTTTGGAGACTTAAGTGCCTTACATAAAATGATATAGAAGAATGCATACAGTTGGCTGTCCACATACATGGATTCCCAATCAGAATAATTTCACTGTACTTTTTTTTCAGTAGCTTTTTTAGTTTGGTTTAGTTGAAATGCCTCTCAATTATCTTTAATATATTTTGCTTGTAATAAATGTAGTAAGGACACTTTTATACTGTTTGAAATGGCATGTGTTTTCTCTGAATATATTAAAAAACTTATTCTTAATCATAAATTAACTTGAAAGCAAGTAGAACTGTTGAGCATTAGAGCTGGAAGTGATGTTAAGTCCCCAATTTTTTCATGTCACTTTTATATTCGTTTCTCAGGATTGCTGTAACAAAGTACCACAAACTGTGTGGCTTAAAACAATAGGATTTATTGTCCCATAGTGCTGGGGACTAGAAAAAAAATCAAAGTGTGTGCAGGGCCATCTCTCCTCCAAAACCTGTAGGGAAGAATCCTTCTTTGCTTCTTCTTAGCTTGTGGTGGCCAACCCTTGGCATCCTTTGGCTTGTAGCTACATCACTCTAATCTTTGCCGCTGTTGTCACACGGTATTCTCCCTATGTGTCTTATCTTCACATGGTGTTTTCCTCTTTTTATAAGGACACCAGTCATACTGGATTAGGGCCCACGCTAATGACCTCATCTTAACTTGATCACATCTGGAAAGACCCTATTTCTGAAAAAGGTCACATTCACAAGTATCACGGGTTAGGACTTTAATGTATCTTTTTGGGGGTCAATTAAACCAATAACAAACAAAATAATCCAAAACTGAGACCCAGAGAGGTTAAGTAATTTGCCCAAGGTCAAATAGTTTGATTATTAGTAATTACTATTTAGATATCTCAGCTTAGAGGCTTTTCTCAGACACTATAAGATATATCTAATTGCAGGTACTGCAAAATGTGAGTGCATGATAAACATGAACTCCTGGGAAATAAAATCTTTGCTTATCCACCAGGGGGAGCCAGGCTCAACAGGGCTCCCAGGACTGCCAGGCGTGCCAGGGGAAGATGGAGCTGCTGGGAAGAAGGTAACTACGTTTCCATATTCCCCGGGATAAAAACTACTGAACCACACTATACCTTGGTCCTGCAGGACCTCAAATTAAACCATCCAGGACAAACTTAGTCTTAAAAAACAACAACAAGCCACAAGTCTAAATTTCCTTGTTCACTGACTCCAGAGAGAAAGAGAGCACGAAGCCAAAAGAAAAGTAGTGTTTCACACCTTCTGCCTTCTCTCAGTGTTTTGGACATGGCATTCTCCAATGACCTAGTCTTTCTGGGATTCCTAGAAAGCACTTTCATTTAAACTTAGAGAAAAATACCTTTTTTTTCCCTCTAAAAGAAGCATCTGCAAATGTATTCAGGAAGTAAGGCCATTATAAAGATTTCCTAAAGCACTTTGAGTAGACATGTGAAATACTCATTTTTCAATATAAGTAGTGAAAAACAGCAGATGGGAAGGCTGAAGATCTTTCTTGTTTTCTTAAAAAAACACAAACCACCAAATGTGAATGATGAGGCAAAAGAAATTAGCGAATAAATTGGCCTTTTTCATGATATTTCCAACTGCTCTGAGCTAAACTAGAGTTTGATATTAGTTTATTCAAGTTGGTAAATTTCCAAATTAATTTTGAGAGTAGAGTTAAGGTCGGGCCTGCTTTGGAGGGTCTCAGCAGAGAACCCACTGGCCATGAGAAGAGACAAGGTGGGCTGACATATACTGTCTACAAAGGGTCAGCTAAGACATCAGTATCATTTCCTCCAGGGAGAAGCGGGGCTTCCAGGAACAAGAGGCCCAGAGGGAGCACCTGGAAAAGGACAACCTGGCTCCAAGGTATGGAACTGACAGTGCCGGGGAAGCAGACTGCCTGTGTTCTGGTCCTGACACTAAGGAGCCAACTTAGGAAAAACCTGAGTGTTATTCTTGCTCTGTCAAATGTGTTTACTTCTGGCTTAAAGTTATGGATACTAGCCTGTGAGCTCTGGAAGAAAGCAAGTATGTATTATTCATTTTTATTTCCTAACATCTATTATAAGACCCAGCTTATATAAAGAGTTCAACACAGGTTTTTCTTAATAAATAGCCAGACTGAATTTAAAAACACATAGGAAGGGAAAAGTAGGCTTGAGATACACCCTTGAGACCTGAAAGCCCATAAATTTTCTTTATTTATGGAGTTTCACACAGTAATAAGAAATATCACCTTATTAAGTGGCAATTTTACTTTCACAACATGGAATAAATTTATTTTACACATTGTAGAAATGCTAGTGAATGCCATCTTTATATGTCATGACAAGAATATCTAAATTCATCAGTAGGACCATTAGTGGCATAACCCACAGCTCTAAGGTGCCAGATGTCCCTGCAGTTTTTATGTAGAGTCACCAATGCCCATATAAAGCTTTTGAAGAATTCAATATGAGGGAAGTACAGTGGGGTCTTGACTTATGAGTTTAATTCGTTCCGTGACGGAGCTTGTAACTCAAATTACTCGTATGTCAAATCATTAAAGTGAACGAGTGAGACACGTGATGCTGGGCTGATGTGGTGTTCACTGTGACGTTCGCTGCGCTAACTAGCGGTGGGGTATCTGAAGCTGGCTCGTAACCCGAATTTTAGCTCGCAACTCAAAGCAAAAAATTGGCGGAGAGACGGCTCATTTCTCGAAAAACTCGTTAGTCAGGACACTCGTAAGTCAAGGCTCCACTGTAAAAGTAAAATCTGTACACTTATTAGTACTCTATTTATAATTGTATTAAAATAGTAAATGATTGCTTAAGAAGTTTATGTCTTGAAAAAATACTGGCTAAAATTGAGTCCTTACCCTTAAATGTGAGAATTTGAAATTTAAATATATTTGTAGAATTTCAAACAATTTTATTTATTGACTTACCAGATTATAAGATCTTTGGGGGAGAGGGGAAAGGAGATGTGGACAGAGAATATCTTTTTAATTAACATCATTCAAAAATACTTATAGAAATTCTTGCCTACTAACATTCAAGAGAACTAATGTATTCTAGAATGCACTTTTGGAACATAGACCTTTGAATTAATAACTGAAGCTGTAAGAATGAATGATATCTGTGAGAAACAGAGCTGAGGTTTGAATTTCATGCTGTACAGTAGCTGGAGAAAGAATATTGAGAGCAGGACAAAGATAAGCAGAAGAGTTACCATGTTAGGGAAACCAAGGAAAAAGGGTTTCAAAGGGTGGCACATGCCACCCCTCAAGCAAGGAGAAGGTGCATTGGAAAGAGAGGCCACTGGATTTGTGGCGTTGAGGTGATCTGTGGCTTATGGAAGGCTATAGGAGAAGAAATGCTGGGAGGTTTCTGAATGAAGATGAAACAGTTCTTCTGGGGGAGCGACAGTGGGCAACCAGGCTGGGGAACAGTAGTAGCCAGTTTCTAGCTCTGCTCCAGGTTCATGCCCACATATCTTTCTACCAAAAGAATTATCAGTCTCCTTTGAGAGAAAGAACTATACTCCCTATGGAGGAGTAAATGGGGCTGAATTTGGAAAATATCTCATTTTATGTTTTAAAGCTGAAATAGCATGGAAGCTGAAGAACCACCCGTTAATAGGCCAAGGGTGCAAAAGAACTGTGAATTCAAACAAAGGTCCCCAAAGAAGGACACTGAACTTAGATTTTTTTTATTAAATCATATTGAATAAATGGTGAAGACTGAACAATTCTGAAGTATCCAATACGTTCAAGAACATCAACAAAACCTGTGTGACTGAGCTGGGCTTGGGGCACATCACTTTAACATTGGCATTAGTTAAGAGTGTGGCCCTGGCCGGTTTGGCTCACTGGATAGACCATCAGCCTGGGGACTGAAGGGTCCCAGGTTCGATTCCGGTCAAGGGCATGTACCTTGGTTGCAGGTACATCCCCAGTAGGGGGTGTGCAGGAGGCAGCTGATCGACGTTTCTCTCTCATTGATGTTTCTAACTCTGTATCCCTCTCCCTTCCTCTCTGTAAAAAAATCAATAAAATATATATTTTTTAAAAAGAATGTGGCCCTGATATGGTTGCTATATGATTGAGGAGGGTTTGTTAATACAACTATATTCTTCTAATTACTTTGTCAGGGTGATGAAGGAAAGAAAGGGAGCAAAGGAAATCAAGGACAGAGGGGCTTTCCGGGACCCGAAGGGCCAAAGGTAAGGTTTTTATACTCTGACTTTTGCTTTGGAGAGCTTGTAATTGTGTCTGGTTTTAATAGAATATTAGATTTCTACTGCAAATTTGATTTCCAATTTCCTCCTCAACAAATACAACCCAAAAACTCCTAAATGAAAAAGGCTTTAGGAAATATACTATTCCAGACCGCAATAGAATGGAATAAAGGGATTGCATAAAATATGTACTCTTCATTGGAATATTTATGCTTCTAAGAGAGAACCTGCAGTCCTCTCTACTAACAATCAAATATTCAGAAGTTGTGATAAAGTTAGGAGATACCAATTTTCTGGCATCTTGCTTTGCTGAACAACTTACAAGGTCCTAGACTGAGAGGCAGTGCAGAGGGGATGACGAGCGGGGCTACAGAAGGCAGGAGAGTGGGATTCTTATCCTGCCCCTCCCCAGAACCTTCCGGGCCAATTGTTTCAACCACAGAAAAAAAGTAATAATAGCATCTATTTCACAGGGTTGTTGGGAAGATTAAAACCGTTAATAAAATGTTCAGCACAGTTCCTGGCACATAGTGAGAGTTCAATAATGCAGTTATTTAGAGAGAGCAAAATCAATACTGTGAAATGTGAAATAAGGAGAGACTTATTCCTGATAAACTATCCAGGACAGGAAGCTGAGGGAGAAGTAAAGGAAATTGTGAGGCAAGCAATTAGGTATGTGTTCTGACTTAGCAAGAGAGAATATTGAGATCATTTGGATGTGTTGGGAAACAGAAATGACAAACCTAAAAGAGTTCAGGCCTCTAGGAAGATGCTAATTGTAAAAAGAGATAAGGACCAGACTATTAAAGAACAACTAAAAAAAATGGTACTCGCATGATGAGAGCAGGTACAAAACAAAGCATCCCTCGTAGACCAGTGATTCTTTTTTAAAAAAATTTTATTATTGAGAATATTACAGATGGCTCCCACATTCTTCCCTTTGCCACACTCCACCCATTTCCCATCCCCACACAGGCCTTCACCTGTCTATTGTCTGTGTCAATGAGCTATGCATATATGCTTATAAATTCTTTGGTTAATCTCTTCCTGCCCTCCTTCCTGCCTTCCCTGTGAGATCATCAGTCGGTTTTATGCTTCCATGTCTGTGTCCTCTCTTGTTTGTCAATTTATTTTGTTCCTTAGAATCCACATATTAGTGAGATCATGTGATTTTTGTCTTTCTCTGACTGGCTTATTTCACTTAGTATAATATTGTCCAGGTCCATCCATGCTGTCTCAAAGGGTAAGAGAGCCTTCATTTTCACAGCTGCCTATTGTTCCATTGGGCAAATGTATCACAGCTTTTTTATCCACTCATATACTGATGGGGACTTGGGCTGTTTCCAGATCTTGTCTATTGTAAGTAATGCTACTATGAACATAGGGGTGTGCATATTCTTTCTGATTGGTTTTTCCATTTTTTTAGTATATATTCCTAGAAGTGGGGTCACTGGGTCCATTTTTAATTTTTTGAGGAACCTCTACACTATTTTCCATAGTGGCTGCACCAGTCTGCATTCCCACCAGCAGTGTACTAGGGTTCCCTTTCCTCCACATCCTCACCAGCACTTGTCATTTGTTAATTTGTTGATGGTAGCCATTCTGACAAGTGTGAGGTGACACTTCATTGTTGTTTTAATTTGTATCTCTCTGATGATTAGTGATGTTGAACATTTTTTCATATGTCTGTTTGCCATCTGTATGTCCTTTTTGGAGAAATGGTTATTCAGGTGCTTTGACCATTTTTAAATTGGGTTGTCTTCCTCCTGCTGAGTTGTATGAGTTCTTTGTATATTTTGGAAATTAACTCCTTATTGTTGGCAAATATGTTCTCCCATAAAATGGGCTCCCTTTACATTTTGAGGATGGTTTCTTTATATCAAACTATACTACAAAGCCACTGTAATCAAAACAGTCTTGTATTGGCACAAGAACAAGCATATAGATCAATGGAACAGAACAGAGACCCCCAAATCAACCAATGCCATTATGGTCAATTACTATTTGACAAAGAAGGCAAGAGCATACAATGGAGTAAAGATAGTTTCTTTAATAAATGGTGTTGGGAAAACTGGACAGGTACGTTCTAAAAAATGAAACTAGACCACCAATTTACACCAAACACAAGAATAAACTCAATATGCATAAAATACTTAAATGTACGTTATGAAACCATAAAAATCCTAGAAGAATATATAGGCAGTAAAATCACAGACATCTCACATAGCAGAATATTCACTGATACATCTCCCAGGGCAAGAGAAACAAAAGAGAAAAAAGACAAATGGGACTACATCAACCTAAAAAGCTTTGCACAGCAATAGACCAGTGTCCCTCAGAATCCCCCAAAGAGCTTGTTACAAATCCATATTTCTTGGCACCATGCCCAGAGATCTAAGTAGGTGAAGGGGCACCAGTAATATGATTTTCTTAAATAAGTGCCTTCTACTGCAGGTAGTTCAGGCAGCACATGATGAGAAATCCCACTTTATAAGAAATGTGTTATATTACTATTAATAACAGTGACTACTCTTTATGTCTGTTACTCTTATTCAAAGTGAATATTTTTCTGTATTTTTAAATAAAGCTCTTTTTTGATGAAGAACTGCTATATTTGAAAGCACAATCAAATCTTAATACAGGGTCTTTAAAAATGTATACCTTCTAGGTATATAATTATGTATTTAAAAGTACAGTAATTGGTCTCTTAAAAAAAAGTCGAGTAGATTAAATCTGGAAGCATAATTTTGCCCTGGTCTTAGTGAAAAATTTAACAGGTTAATGTTTTATTTCTTTGCCATAGGACTGAACTGGGTGGTTATCTGTTGCCAGAATCCTGGTGTGTCATGTGTCATTGCCTTGTAGCTTTGGAATTAAGGGTGGGCGCATACATGCATTGGCATAATCTGGGCCCCAGTAGGCCAGTGTGCTCAGCTGTCCAACATTTTAGGGACTGAGCAGGAGGCCTCAGCTGTGGCTCAGGGCAGGAGTCATTCATTACCAGTGACTCTCCCAAAGGAGGCAGGAGATCAAATGGTCAGTTCATGATCTTAGAATAGTTCATTTTTTAAGGCAGGAGGAAGCAAACTTTTTTTTCTTTTATTAAATCCTCATGGAGGATATGCTTACTGATTTTAGAGAGAAAGGTAGGGGAAGGGAGGAAGAATGCGGGGTGGGGAGAGGGAGAGGGAGAATAGGGAAGATAGGGGGAGAGAGGGAGAATCATAGATGTGAGAGAAACATTCATTGGTTGCCTCCTATATGTGCCCCACTGGGGATTGAACCCACGACCTAGGTATGTCCTCTGACCGGGAATTGAACTCACAGTTACTATATGGGACAATGCTCCAACTACACTGGCCAGGGCAGGAGGAGGCAAATTTTTTGGTAGATGTATAGGTAGTAAATATTATAGGCTTTGCAGGCCAAGGAGAAAAATTGAATATATTATATACACTATTTTTAAACAATCATTTAAAAATGTGAAAGCCATTTTTAGCCCCTGGCTGTACAAAGCCAGATGGCAGGTGGGATTTGGCCCACAGGTTGCAGTTTGCTGCACCTGTTCTATGTCAGCAGTTTCTAAACTGTTTGATTATGCATCTCTATAGTAAAAAAAATATTGCCCATACTCCAATATAGTTTTATTTTAATTATAATTTTAATTCATAAACTATCATATTAATGTCATAGGTTTATCTAAATAATTGAAAATTTAAAAGATGAGATGAAAATATATAGTGTAGTCCTAATATTATCTTCTAGTAATGCCAAATGGGCCATTTTAAACACCTTGTAGGGATTGTGCACTCTTCTTTTAATGATAATTGCTTTGCATAGTGTGTTTTGAGGAGGTAATGATACCTACATCAGAATCACCAGAGGTGCCTCATAAAAATTCATATTCCTGGATCTATTTAATTCATATTGAGCTTGCCGAAACCGGTTTGGCTCAGTGGATAGAGCGTCGGGCTGCGGACTGAAAGGTCCCAGGTTCGATTCTGGTCAAGGGCATGTACCTGGGTTGCGGGCACATCCCCAGTAGGAGATGTGCAGGAGGCAGCTGGTCGATGTTTCTCTCTCATCGATGTTTCTAACTCTCTATCTCTCTCTCCCTTCCTCTCTGTAAAAAATCAATAAAATATATTTAAAAAAATTCATATTGAGCCCCTAGATCTATTGAATTAAAATATCTGTGACTGATCATCAGTAGACAACCAGAAAAAGAAGATGTGGAATATACATATAATGGAATATTACTCAGCCATTACAAAGAATGAAATCTCACCATTTGTGACAGCATGGATGAATGTAGAGGGTATTATGCTAACTGAAATAAGTCAGACAGGTAAAGACAAATACCATATGATTTCACTTATATGTGAAATTTAAAAATAAAATAAATAAACAAAATAGAAACAGGCTCATAGATATAGAGAACTGACTGATGGTGGGTAGATGGGAGGTGGGTTGGAGGGCTGGGTGAAAATGGTGAAGGGATAAAGAAGTACAAATTGGCAGTTACAAAACAGCCATGGGGATGTAAAGAACAGCATAGGGAATACAGTCAACAATATTGTAATAACTATGTATGGTGCCAGTTGGGTACTAAAGTTATTGGGGCAATCAGTTTATAAATTTATAAATATTTAACCACTATGCTGTACATCTCAAACTAATATAATATTGAATGTCAACTGGAGTTGGGAAAAAATTTTTTAAAATATCTCTGGGACTGAAACCCTGGATTCTATATTTTTCCAAATTCCTCTGGTGATGGGGAATTTGGTGGGACAAAGATACTGCTTGCTATTTCAAACTGAGTCTTTATTGAGACTCAATATTGAGATACCAAATATTATTGAGAAATGTTTTAATTTTTCTATTTGAAAATAATTTTTTATCATAAGCTCTCTACTTCTAAGATGGGATATGAGACAACTTACAATGGAAGACTGACATACTATGGGCAACATAACAAAATAACAAAGGAAAAAGTTATAAACTATAAGAAACATTATTCATTGACCAAGTATACCCCAAAACTTATGCTGAAGATAATTGTTATAATTGAACAAATATTTTTCTCTGACTTCCCTGGTCTATGACAAAAGGGAAGCACCATGAAGTGTATAATTTTTATTAGCTAATAAAAGGATGCACAAGAGATAAAAATTTTCCTAATACTCAGGAATTAGTTGAGGACATTTATGAAAGGCAGTGAAATCTTAATCATAAATAACTTTAGTCGTGGTTTAACAAAGATGTAAAAATATTTCACATTGGTCTGTAAAATAGACAGGTCATGCTTTTTAAAAATGCTTTGAACACATTTCTATGTTTTTCCTAATATAATTCCTGTATATAGTTTTCTTTTGCTTGAAATGTAATAAGCATTTTTCTCTGCTTTTAGGGTGAGCCAGGGGTTATGGGCCCTGTTGGGATTCCTGGAGCATCAATTCCTGGACCACCTGGACCAAAGGTATGCATTCTTGGGAATATATTTTCTTCTTTTTTCTTAGACAATTGGGAAGGAAGGGGCGGGATTCATGACACCAGTCAGTTAGAATTTTAGTTTTGGAAGAACCCAAGCTATTATGTAGTTCAACCCCGATATTTCACAATTAAGCAAACTGAAGGCCAGCAGCAAATATAAGATTAGAAACCAGATTTCTGTTCCTGGTCTTGAACTTGTCACTTTACCTGGAATTACCTCCCCCAAATTCTAGACCTTAGAGCAGGTAAAAATTTACTACACTTATTCAGAAGAATCTTCTAGGATTTATAATCAGGAAGTGTGACAGAAAAGAAATCTACTCAGATTTGAGAGCATCCCTAGACATTCTCACAGCCTAAACATTTGTGTCAAGTTAGCCACCTCTTATTTCAGTGGCCTTTCTCTAAACCAGCTTAGTAGTTTTTACTGACAGCTTTTATTTATTTAGGATATGAAATTCCCCTCCAGTATATTAGAAGAATGTTCTCTCTCAAGATCTGATAGTGGTAAATTAGGCCCTTTACAAACCACTTTTTTTGCCCCCTGCCATTGTGGTTTCTCATGCAACCTAAAGTCTGAAACTCATTTCAAATTCATTATTTGAAATGTCCAGGGAGATAGAGGAGGACCTGGAGTGCCTGGATTTAAAGGAGAACCTGGCATTGCTATTCGAGGACCAAAGGTAGGCTTTATTTATGTTCTTTTATTTTTATTTTTTCTGTATGTGAGAGAATGAAAGTAGATTTAACGCATCATAAGTTGATGACGGAGATGGTTCTACTTCCAGGATGTTGTTGAACTCAAATATAAGAATACGCTATTCCCTATAGTAAAAAAACAACTCAACAGATCATTTATTTTTCATAAATGCAGAGGATCATTTATTTTTTCTAAGTGTCATCCATCTTTCTGAGTTATTTTAGACGAAAATGCAAATAATTATAGAAGACGGCTTTAAGTAGCCATTTCTATTTTTCCATGGCAGCAAAGCCCAGCACTGCAGCAATATTTAACATTCCAAATGGCAACAAGCACATCCCTGTGTTCATACAGGCTTCAGGGCTCCACAATCAGCACTCAGTAAATGAGTAGCATGTTATGTAGCTTTGAAGCTGGCTTCAGTTCTATCAAATTGTCTCTTCTAGACAAAAGGGTTCAAGTACTAACATCAGTGATTTTCAAATTTCAAAAAAAAAGTGTGTGTATGTGTAATTTCAGTTCAGAGAGGAAGGGAGTGGGAGAGAGAGATAGAAACATCAATGATAAGAATAATTGATCGGCTGCCTCCTTGACTGGGAATCAAACCATACCCTCCTGGATCATAGGTTGATATTCAACTACTGAGCCACACCGGCTGGGCCAAAAAAACAAAACTTAGAACCATTTGAAATATAATGCAAAACCTATTATATACTGATATAAATTGTAGGGGTTCTTTCTGAAGGTCAAGGCAGGATCCTGGCATCATTTTTCTTAATCACATTAACAGTCATCCTTGCTAGGGTGACAATCTTCTGGTTTATTGGGGACAGAGGAGGTTCCAGGGATGTGGGAGGTTCAAGCTGAAACAGAAAGTCCCAGACAAACCAGAACAAGATGATAACCTTACTTCCCAGACTTTGAGGCACATGGGAACCCAAGTTATGTACAACTTCATAATTAAAACTATAGATACGACCTTGATCAAGAACATTTGGGTGATCATTTTTATACTCTTTGATAACTTCCTGGATCTGTGTATTCCTAGGTTTATGATTTATAGTTGCTTCTCTCTACTTATTCCTTACCATAGAAATGAAGTCCAATTAAATATGCAGCTAGGGCTTATAAGCCCCACCTTATTTTCTACTGATGATCATTGGACATCATTGGTGCTAGTATTTTTGGTGCTAGTAAAGTTATTACCTCCTCACTCCAAGCATTTTCAAATCCCTTGTCCTCTAAAGATGCTCTTTCTGTCCTTCTTCCCTAATACATGGGTCTTTAAGCATTTGGGGGGTTAAATGCCTGATGGAAATTTTGTCACATTAATTCAGTTTTTGTGTATTACTTCAGAGAACTCCCAGATCCCCCCAAAAGCCCATTTTAAAACATCAGATTAAGATTTCTGCCCTAATTTATGTTGAATGAGAGACACTTCAAACTGAATCACTTTGCACGACATTTTCTTGAATCCAGTGCAAAGAGGCCAAGTGGCAATATTCCATCGAAAAGTTTGTTGTGATGAGTCCAAAATAAAAACCTGAGAAGGAGCACTTCTCTTCTCCCCATCTCCTGATATTCCTGTGAACATCAGAAGTAACAAGCTAACTAAAATGTTTGCAGAAGAGAAGATAAAGTTCTCTAGGAAAAAAATGTTTGTAAACTATTAATGTTTTAATGTCCCCCCAACCCCCAGTGTGGGTGCCAGAGGCTAAATGACAACAGCTGCTGACAATTTGTTATAGGCTTGGCATGTCTAAAGAAAAACTGAAAGCGAATTTTCATTCCAATTTTCTTTCAACTTAACCAGGGAGCAGTTATTGCTTTTTGTTGTGGGCCTGCTCCTTGTGTAAGCATGGAGAGAAACAGACATCTTATTTTGGGACATATCCCATGTGGATGCTTAAAGCTTTAACCTTAATTTAAACACAGTTGGAATAGCATAATAGATTGCTTCTGAGAAGTGACCAGTTTCCTGTAGTTGGAGATACACCAAAGCTCACCTCTCCAGAGACCCTGCTTCTGCTCTCTGTCATACAGCTGTATGCAGTCATCTCGGATTTCTGTGGATGAAAAATAGTAAATTCAGTTTTAATAAGTGACCACATGTGTTCTGAACATGATCATTCTTAAGAAGGTTAATCATGTAAAACCAGTCTCTTAGATTTAATAGGAAAAAACAGTTATTGCATGAGTGGGGGGTGGAGGGCAATGGGGGGATAAGGACACATATGTAATACCTTAATCAATAAAAAAACATAAAAACAGTTGTTGCATTCATGGTTTTCAAAACACTTTTAACTTTCTATAGAGCACTCAGTAATGGTTCATATATATTATTTCCTACATGCATTTCATGATTCCCACCACATACAAGGAGTAAGACTTATGAAGGGATAATGAGTTACCATATGTGATAGGATTTCCTTCTAAACATTTCCAAATCATTCCTTTTGCACATATCAAATCTACTTTTGGCATATTGAGCTGGTAGTGTGCTCACGTTTTACCAGGTGTCCCACAGTTTAGTCTTATGATATCACCTGGTGTTGGAATTTATCCAGGGTGCCCAAGGCCCGAGAGGACCAGTGGGTGCTCCAGGACTCAAAGGCGATGGCTATCCTGGTGTGGCTGTAAGTTTGGGCATTGCTTTTATTTCTTTCCTTCTTCCCTGCATTCCCTCCATTTCTCCTTGTTTCCTTCTTCTTGCCCTCCCTTCATCATTCCTTTCTCTCTCTCCCCCTTTTTGCCTCCATCTGCCCTCCCCTTCCCTTCCTTCTTCCTTCCTTCTCCTCCTCACTCCCTCTCCTCTCCTCTCCTCTCCTCTCCTCTCCTCTCCTCTCCTCTCCTCTCCTCTCCTCTCTTCTCCTCTCCTCTCCTCTCCCCTCCCCTCCCCTCCCCTCCCCTCCCCTCCCCTCCCCTCCCCTCCCCTCTCCTCTCCTCTCCTCTCCTCTCCTCTCCTCTCCTCTCCTCTCCTCTCCTCTCCTCTCCTCTCCTCTCCTCTCCTCTCCTCTCCTCTCCTTTCCCTTTTCTCTCTCTCTTTCTTTCTTTCTTTCTTTCTTTCTTTCTTTCTTTCTTCTTTCTTTTTCTTTCAAATACTGCAAACAAAGTTGCTCACTCTCTCCCTTATCATGCCATCTAGGGACCTCGAGGATTACCAGGACCCCCGGGACCAATGGGTTTACGTGGAGTGGGAGACACTGGAGCAAAGGTGAGATTTTAAAGTAGGTAACATGGTAGCTTCTAGAGGGACATGATTTTGGTATTTTTTTTTATCAGGCATGATAGAAGAGTAGGGGTATCTAAAGAATTGATAAAGTTACTAATCCTCATCCATGGACTTCCTGGGAACCTTGCACTAATTTGAACAGGTAGCTTAACTTTATGGTTTTTCTCTTGCTTTCCTTGTGGCAATCCTCACATCCCTTTGCTTTCTCTTCCTGCACCGAGATCAGTCGGTCCAGAGCCCTCTTTGCTTTCCTAGGTGCCCTCATCCAGTTCCATGGCTTTCACCACTAGCCACGTGCCAATGGCATCCCGATTTCTATTTTCCCTGCTCTAAGCTCTGGTCTCACACCTCTGGTTTCTTCCACACAGCTCCTCTCAGATTTCTCAGTCTCTCCAACATGACATCCAAATAGAACCTTTGCTTTTCACCCCATAAGGTTGTAAATAGCACTCCCATGCACCCCACGCTGATGTGATGACACCTGAGTCATTCTTGGTCCCTTCCTTTTCCCCTCCTTCCTCCACGTCGAGCCCCACGGTAAATCCTGTCAGTCCTACCTTCAAAACATATCTCGACTCTGGCTGGCTTTCTCCTGCTGCTTCCACCCGGGAAGACTGCCTGGGCTATTAAAATAGCCTCTTCACTGGTCTTCCCTCTTTACCTCTGGCCTTCTATTACCTAGTGGGCAGAGGGCTCTTTTACATCCGTAAATCAGATCCGATCTCTTTCCTTCTCAAAAAACACTCTGGTGGCTTCTCTTTGTGCTGAGAACAAGCTCCAGCCACTTTCCATGGCCTATGAGGCCCTTCACGACCTGACCGCAGCTCCTGCCCCTTCCTCTCTTGCTGCCAATGCCACCCCCCCCACCCCCACCCCAAGCCACACTACACACTGCTTCAGGTCATCCCTGCTTCCAGGCCTTGGTTCTGTCAGGATGGTTCACCTCCCTCACCACCCATTTAAAAGCAATCATCTTTCTCTCCCCTCCCTTCCTCCCTCCCTCCTCATCACTATCATATCCCTTTGTGTATTTCCTACATAGCAGGTATCACTTTCTGAAATCATCTTGCTCATTGCCTGCCTTGCAAACTCCATAAGAGTAAGTTTTCTTGAATGCAAGCTCTCTGTTTTGTTCCCTGCTAAATTCCCCACCTCAGAACTAGGTGTGCCACCCAATAGGAGCTTTATAACATGTTGAATGAATGGAAAATGAATGAATGATCAATATTACCCCAAAGAGAGCATTTTTCCTTAGAATACACCAACTCAGTATTTTTTTTTTTTTTTTTAGTTGTGATACCAGTTTATTCCTGGGAGGATGTCCGGGCAGCATCCACTTACTCTGCCGCCATTTTTAATCTCCTTAAAATCGTTTTTCTTGAAATATTAACGTTTATTGCATGTAACATTATATTTAAAATCATTTTTCTTGAAATATTAATGTTTATTATTATATTTAAAATAGTTTTTCTTGAAAACAACTCAGTTTTTTTTAATGCGTTCAGGTCATGAGGGAGAGATGTTGTAAGTGCTCAATGTCAACGTTTTGCCTTTTTTTTTTTTTTTTGGTCTCTGCCCCATCACTTAGGAATGACCACACCTTGAGACTGCTTCTGTGTGAGGAATGAGGCAGGCGTTCTCTGTCCTCTCCCGGTAGAATGAAAGATTGAACACCCATGGCACTAAAAAGCCTGTCCCAAAGAGATCTGTCTGTCAGGCTGATCATGAGAGTCCAGGAGAGGCTTGTCTGAAAGTGCCTGTTAGACTGTGCAGAGCAGACACCCCCAGGTGCTTTGATCAGGATCTGGCTTGTTCAGACTAAGGACTGACTCCGATCCTCTACACACCTCGGCAGTGCCAGGGACCTTACTGAGTTTAGGTATTGTAGTATTTTTTTTCTTTAAGGCAAAGTATCTGTCACATGTTAAAATGTAAACATAGAAAGAGAAAAGAATTTTTTTTTGTTTTTATACCACATATTCCTTTAGTTAGAGAAATAGAAGCTTATTCCTATTTATAGTGAGGCATGATATAAAATCTGTTAAATATATACTGGAATGTATTTGTATTCCAATGGAATTGTATGATCATTTACATTTCCAGAGTAGATTATTGTAAAGATTTTATGTAAGTATATATTGATTATGTTAACTATGCTATTACATTACTATCTTACTGTGAGCAATAATAATTAGGCACAGATAGAGAACATTTAAAAATTTGATTCCTGTGAATGTTCACTGTCAGATTATTTAACATGTAGACTAAAACATTTACTAAATGATTTCATATACGGCTTTTCTCTAAGTCCCTTGTATTTATTTCCATATACATTTCAAGGGTGGAAAATCAAGGAAAACACTGTTCTTTCTAAATTTTATCCTGCCTATTTTTTGTAACAGTCAACATGTTGCCAGAAGCTGTATCTTAAGTGAAATAGTATCTCTGTGAGCCCAGAAGGGGGGCTGAGTGGAAGCAGCAGCCTATAGCTCACTTCCAGCTGAAGGGAGAAGAGAGCATCAGCCAGGACCTGCCTCTCTCCGCCCTCCTCCCTCTCTGCTGCCTTTTCCTTCTCTCTGCTGCCTGTTTCTGTCGATGTGAGGGAAATTAAGTTATCCTGGCAAACTAGCCCTGGAGGGCCATGTCAGGAGCGTGAGCTAGTCTTAGAATCCAAGGACTTGGATCAATCATTTGAAAATACAGGAAATTTTAAAGGCAAACATCAGCTTTTCATAACTTTCAAAACCATCTCTCCTCTTTTAAAGAAGCCTTCACATCTCTATGTGGCCTTTTCTCTTTTTTTCTAAAGAAAACTTGGATGCACGTGCACGCACACACGAACAGAAGCTGGGGTGAGGGCATGAGTGGGGGGATGGGGGTAACGTGGGGATAAGGACACATATGTAATAACGTAATCAATAAAAAAATAAAAACAAAAAAAGAAATAAAAATGTAAAGAAAAGCAAGAGAAAAAAATGAAAAGAAAGGAAAATATTCAGAGAAGTCTAATTCCCATTTAACTTTGTCCTTCTGGGTTGGCAGAGTGAAGGTGAAACTCTCAAACTACTTAGAGTTGTTAGTGGTAGCAGAAGTACAGGACTTAAGTGTGTGCAAAATTTCTTTCCTTCCATTTTGACTTTTAAAACGGCAGAGAAATCATATTATGTGTGTGTAGTTGTATAGACATATATAGCTGATACGTTTTTCATTAAAACTCTGTGTAGTCACCTTAAAGTACTGGCCTTAGGGCATTAACTTATAAAACAAATGTGTTTGGAAATGAGGAAACCATTAAGGCTGACTATTAATTTATGGTGGGCTTTTGTGATATTTGGTTAAGGTCACACATGTTTAGCATATGACACAGACATTTGAATCAAAGCTTCTATGTTTCAAAACATATAAAAGCCAGGCCCTGACTTCTTGCACCCTTGTGGTGCTCCAGGGCAAATTCCTTATGACATCAGTGGCTATAGCACTTCTATATACATTACCTTGAATTTAATCCAAATTTTGACAAGGGCTTCTGAGAGATTTCTAAAATTCTTGTAAAAATTACAATGTTCAAGGTAAAAGCAGATATAGTTTTAAAATCCATGTTGGAAACATGCCCTGAATAGGAACAGACAATTGGTTTCTTGCTAAGTGGGATGCACTCATCCAGTGCCCTGACTCCTGGACCCACATTCCCTGCTCCTCTATGGGGAAGTCAAGTTCAAAGATCCTATGTAACACTGCCTGCATTTCTGTACTGGACCCTAGAGACTAGAAGGACCCTTTGTGATTTGGGGACAATCATTATGTAAATCTCATTTCCCTTTGAGAAACTCAGATAACTCCCCCTCCCCATATTTTTACCCCCAAGGACTATTGAGGTGCATACTGTCCCAGGGTGATCACTGACATCTCTCAGGGTAAGAGTTTGTTCTTGGCCTCTTAGAAGAGGAGTGGCTCTCCGGAACTCCATAAAGGCAGGTGCATCCCCCCATGTCCCTCTCTGAGCTCTTTCAGCCCCTTCAGTGTGCTAGTTCCTCACAGAGAAAGCATGGTCCTCTGGGGGCGCTGAGCTCAGGCCAGTTCTTGCACAGAGCAGATCTGGCATTGGGGGCCCTCAAAGGACCTCTTACCCATCGAGTGGTTGGAATAAGGTCTGTGGGCAGAAAGATTTGTTGGGTTGTTGTTACTATTATTGTATATTACCTAAAAATTACATATTAATACTATCTAAATATTTCCAGAATATTGTGACATTTTTAAACAACCCACTTATTTTATAGATGAGGAAATCAAGAACCATAAAGACTGAACAATTTGCCCCTTTGTAATATAAACAGTTTTGATACTATATTGTGTTTGTGTATGAGAGGGACACTATGAATATGAATGAATGGATGAAAGACTAAATGGATGAAGAAATCAGAGCAGAAAGAATGGCTTGGCCTGATCTATAGGTGCTCAGTCCCCAGAGCTGTCCATCTTCTGACTATCACGGCACCATGTAGTGTTCAGTTGGATTGTTTCTCTTTCCAGTCTAGCTTTTCCATCGTCATGACTTAAATGATGAAAACATTAAAGGGAAGCATAAACCTAAACCCCAAAGAGTTAAACATTTTTCAAAAGCTTTAAATGTTTAACTATTGTAAATGCATGCTTTATTTGACAAAAGTGGCCCATAGTCATAAATTAAAATGCAAGTCTATGTGAAATTCCACTGAGTACCATTATTCTAAAAATGTTCTCAGCATCTGAATCGCTCCTCTGTTCTCTGCAATGGCTCACATATGTGCATACCACCAACAGGCAGTGGCGGAACAGAGAAGCAATTCACACAGAGCTGCATTCGGAATTTGTAGATTCCATCGGCAGACATGGAGTGGACAAGGAACTCCATTTTGAACAGTGTCTGACAAGGAGGGCTGCTCTAGGACACAGACTTCATGATAATGAAGTTAAGGGTCCATGATTCCAAATTGGAGTCGAAG